CTACTACAACATTGAGAGCAATACAATCAGAAGAGTTGAAATCCAAGGACTGGATGCGTTTGTCGGAGTTCACATTTCTCTAAACCATGTAGAAGACGTGAGGCTTTTGCAGTATATGTAGGACTTTATAACTCTAGATTTGTAACAGGTCAGGGGACCTTACTTCTCCTTATGCTATTTCATTTCTATTCTCTGTTTTTATTTGGTTTTTGTATGGTGGAGGAGACTATCAATCTCTGTGTTTACAATTTAGCCTTTTGAAATCTTCTCTTCATGAGAAAACCACTTTGTGGGTTATGAGTTCTGTATTAATCATCAACACTAAATTTAACACTAGCTGATATTTTTGACTACAGACAAATGAATTGTGCTTCTCTGTCTCTGCCTATTTTGTTAATCTTTATATGTCCTAAGTATTTGTTGTGGTTGTTTATTTGCTACATTAAATAAGAGTAATGAAGTTACATTTATTTAGTGTGTTCCATCAAAATCTTTCATGTAATGAGTTTCACGAAGCCAACTCGTGCAATAGTATTTTCTTATCTTATAATAAGTATATCTTAAAATAAAAGTTTTAATAAGGAGAATTGCCTAAAATCAAATCTTCATTAATATGTTTACTTAATTATTTACTAAATATATAAAAGAAATCAATGTTAAATAAAGTATTTTATGTTTTATAAACAATAACGTTTAAATTAAATTCTAACGATTTACATAAAATTACAACCAAAAATTTGTGGCTATATACATAAAACACCCTCAATAAAAATAATGACATGGCTAACTAGGAAATATGACATGGATTATTCTTAATTATGACATGGACTAAAATTAATTATGACCAAATTCAGTTATAGAAATAAACAAATAAGGTACTAAGTATATAGTCATTACCATAGTTATAAGACATCAGTAAGAGAATTTAAATATTAAATGTGGTTTATTATAACTAGCAAACTGAAAAATTTAATAAAAAACTGAAAACATTTTTAATAAAAACTTAAAATTGTAAGAACGTGTTTCCTTATTATATTTAAATTTTGTATATTATTTGTATACTGCCCATGTTTATGTTTTATTAAATATAATATATATAGTATTATAAGTCATGTTTACGATATAAAATAATAAAATATAGATAAACACATTTAAATTATTTTTAGAATGTTTTCATTCTAAAATAAAAGTTCTCTGCATATGCGTTCTATCTCCAAAGTCTTGTCTAATTTTACAAAAGATATTTTTGAAATATATACAAGTGCTTTTAAATAATTATACCATTCATTTTATAAAATATCATATAGATTATTTTTACCAGTTGGTTGTTTACGTCTACAATCACAATAACAATTATATCACTCGTGTTTATTATTTTATTCTTTATAATTTTTTTATCTTATACAATCTTGTATAATTTCATATACATTTCAATTTTTATTGTTAACGTTTTAGCCCTTAATTTAAGGATTTTATTTTTATTTCTTTTTATTTAATTTTTTATTAGAATGTAATATTTTATTGATTCTATTAAGTATAATATTTTATTATATATGATATTGTGACTTTTTATTAACTTTGATTAACAATAAGGATTATAGTGTAAAATTTAGATTTGAAATTCTTCTTTTGGAGTGACACATTCTCAAACTTCAAATTTGAAGTTTTGTCAACTTAAAAAATGAAGTTGATTTTAGAGATGCTATAAGAAGAAAATGATGACATACATTATTTAAAACATATCAACAATAATCAACTTATGAACTATTAAGATAACAGAAATATTACTATGTTTTATTTATGTTATTATACGTGACGCTTGTGAGCGATAGAAAAGACATACATTACTCTCATCTTGACTGTCTTTTCAATACAATAACTAATTATTATTCCAAGAAAAACAATTTAAGGTATCCTTACTATACTCATACAAGCAAGGTCCGCGTGGTGTTATCTTCCACACAATTATAGTCCCGGATAAATGGCGGTCTCTATTGTCTCTATATATGTCAAACCAACGCCTTCCATTTGGCAAATCAAAAGCACAGAAAAACAATGTCTCAAAGAAGAAATGAGACTCAAAACTAAATGACCACATCCCACCGGGTTTCAAACTACGGACACCTAAATCATCGTCCTTTGATTTACAATGAAACTGCATTGTATTACCAAGAACGTTGATGATTTTTACCGTTTTGGCATGTGATAGATCTATAGTTACAAAGATAATCAATATGAAAAGTGATAGGTATCGTTTTGGAATATCCATTTTTGTGGTATAAGAGAGTGTTTAAACTAACATGATGTTGTTTGTAATTTTTAAATGAGTTATATATGCAAAAGTAATAATGTACTGTAACGTAATGTCCGACAATCATTTATATTTAGTTCCATAAATCTGATACAATATTAATTTTGTTTCTTAATTAACGTATATGGTCAAAGTTTTTAAGTTTAAGAACGTTAATTAAGAGACAGTTAAAAAGTTGGCAAAAAGTAATATTTTAGATTGACTTATTATGAGTTATAACGGTATCTTAAAAATAATTAATCCTCATTTCAACATAATTAGAAGAATACAGAAAGAATATTAGTTTTCATTTTTGGGGTCATTTTCATATTTTTATTTGATATTGGTTTACATAACTTTTATGCTGAATATATAAAAACCAGTCTCTATTTCCATAAAGTTTTTATCTTTTTAACATTCTACACACAAATATAACTTTTATTTGATATATTTGTGTGTCCATTGCAAATCTTTTATTTAAGTATTCCTAAATAAAATATTAAACATTATTTTATTAAACTTCAAATTTATTTATTAAATTCTTAAACATAATCCAAAGCAAGCAAAAAAAAAAATAAACATTCTCAACACTTGCCCTATCTTCCATACCATCACAGTAGCCAGTATTCGTTCAAACATGATCCAAATCAACCAAATTTACAGAACAATCAGTAACAATATAATCAAAGAACTTGCCTTTAAGAACTTTTTTATCAATAGGCTTTTGCCGCATTTCCATTAGCTGAAACAGTGGCAGGAACTTCCACTTCCTCTTCTTCCTCGGGATCAGAGAGGTATATTATGAGAAATCATCAGCAACCAAACAAATATTACAGAAAGAGAACTGATCTATATCTTGAAACAAACAAGGTTCTTCACATCTAACTAACGCGGTTGCTTAATTAAAAAGAAAAAGAAACGGTGCAGAAAAAGATACTTCAATTTTTTATGAGCGGGAGTAGTGCTACGCAATTGCAGAGAAGTATATGATAGTAAGATCCAATGGTTTTGAGAGTAAGTGTGAAACTTACTTGGTTGCAAAAAGATCCCACACTTTTGTCTGAATTTTATATGTACCCCAATGAGCTACCATCTGTTCTTGCAAGCGCTCTGGAAGTTTGTTCCTCTGAGCAAGGCCCCTTTCACTTGCACTATTACCATGTATATCACCATAACCCGATGTTGAGAAAGTGGTTATGGACCAATATATCGCTGTAACATATCGGATAATAAAGATTTATGTGTCCAGTTTGGCTCCGCAAGTGTCATAAAAAGTCATGGAAGGGTCTGGGTAATGCGCAGCAATATAATAACAGAAGCAGGTGCCACAAAGAGAGCAACCTACATTACAACCACCAATGTCTTATCAAACAGAAAAGCAAAAAATATGTAGCTTCTTAATAAATGTAAGCTCGTGTAATGATAAGTTACTCAGCTTTGTGCATCCAACCCAAAAGTAGTAGTTGTATTTGCGATCTTTCAAGAAATATTATGACAAAGGAAGACAAGTGTTTGATGATCACTTATCCAGTAACCTCATAGTAATAAAAATGCCATGTGCATGCACAGAGAGCTCCACCAAGCAAAGGCACCTTATAAACAAGGAACAACAAACCATGAAAGCTATCAAAATTCAAGAAACCTAGGAAGTAACCAATTAAATCAGGTTAGAGAGGTCTTTTAATTGCAAAGTCTCAATCTGTTAATTGCAAAGTCTCAATCTGTTGGCGTTTACAGATTCGTTTTCATCATATAGAACAAGGCAAAAACAGAGATGTATAGAATCAAAACCCAAGAAAAGATATCATCAAAGATCAAAGCTTTTCGGACAAACAATCAAACCCAGAAACTTAAATTCCATTAAAACTGAAAATCAAATTCAATCAAGCTTGGTAGAGGTCAGTCATTCTGTCTCATCAACCATGATCAATGTAAAGGATTTTGTCTAGAATTAACGTTTTAGCCCTTAATTTAAGGATTCGATTATTATTTTTATTTCATTTATGTAATTTTGTATTAGAATGTAATATTTTATTGATTATATTAATTATAATATTTTAGTATATATGATATTGTGACTTTTTATTAACTTTTATCAACAATAAGGACTATAGTGTAAAATTTAGATTTGAAATCCTTCTTTTGGAGTGACACATCCTCAAACTTCAAATTTGAAGTTTTACCAACTTTAAAATGAAGTTGATTTTGGAGATGCTATAAGAAGAAAAGGATGACATCTATTATATTAAAAGAGAAGTTACAACTTCTCTTCATGTGTGATATTTTAAAAAATGGACCATTCCTAGAAAATAATATTTCATATATATCTTAATAACATTTTATTTGACTTAGTTACAATATCTTTTGATATCTTTTCTTTTATTTGAAATAAAATATATACTTTAAAAAGAATTCTAACAAAATATTTTAGAATCTTTTATAAACATTAAACATATGAATAATAATATATACCAATAATGATGTAAATAAATAAATATATATATACATATTTATAAACGGAATTATACACCCGCTCGGTTGAGCGGGTCAAAATCTAGTACATTATTTAAAACATATCAACAATAATCAACTTGTGAGCCATTAAGATAACTTAAATATTATTATGTTTTATTTATATTATTATACTTTTGTGAGCCATAGAAAAGACATATGCATTACTTTCAACTTGACTGTCTTTTCAATACAATAACTAATTCTTATTCCAAGGAAAACAATAAAGTTGTTCCTTCGCACGTCCATCAGACTCCCGATACAAGCAAGGTCCGGTTGGTGTTATCTTCCACACCATTGGACCAAGGCTACCATCTCGCCGGCCTTTATATACGTCGAACCAATGCCTTCCATTTGGCAAATCAAAAGAACAGAAGTACAGATTCTCTAAAAAGATATTATAGCCAGGCTCAAAATAAAATGACCACATCTCACCAGGTTGCAAACTACGGTCACCTAAATCATAATCCTTTGATTTACAATGAAAATGCAATGTATTATCAAGAACATTGATGATTGTTACCGTTTTGGCATGTGATAGATCTGTAGTTACAAAGATAATCAATATGAAAAATGATAGGTATCGTTTTGGAATATCCATTTTTGTGGTATAAGAGAGTGTTTAAGCTAACATGATGTTGTTTGTAGTTGTTGAATGAGTTATATATGCATGAATACTAATGTTTTGTAACGCAATGTTTGGCGATCATTTATATTTAGTTCCATAAATATGATATTAATATTACTTTTGTTTCTTAATTAACGTATATGGTCAATGTTTTTAAGTCTAGGAACATTAATTAAGAGACAGTTAAAAGATTGGCAAAAAGTACTATATTTTAAAATGACCCATAATTAGAAGAATACGAAAGAGTATTAGTTTTCATTTTTGGGGTCATTTTCATATTTTTATTTGATATTGGTTTACAGAATTTTTATACTGGATATATAAAAATCAGTCTCTATTTTTATAGAATTGTTATTTTTTTTTACCTTCAAATCCCAAGCATAACATTCTACAAGTTCTCAATTGTTACTTTTTTTACTTCTGCTTTCATCGTTTTTTTTTTTTTGCCTATTAGAGGATTTATAAATTTAGAACAATATTTAAGAAATACAAAAGAAAAAATATATATTGATCTCGAAGTTAAAAAAAAAATATCACCAATCTTTCTATAAGGTTATAACTTATAAGCATACGGATAAAAAATATGAAAGACCAAACTGAGGTTAGGTGAAGATTTAGACGGTAGAAAATAATTACCACAAAGTCATAGTTTGTCACTATCTATTTGAATGGTAAAAGCTAAGATTTGGAAAAGAGCTCCCCGGATATTTAATCCCAAAATGTAAGAATATCAAAACCACACGGTACCAGATATTTTAAGCTCTAAACTTTTCTCCTTACCGAACAGAGAAATGGCGACAAGGACAAGGAAGAAGAAGAAAGGGTTTACTTAGCAGACAGATTTGTTTTTCCATGATGGTAATGCACATGCGCCCTTTATCTGTTAAGAGTTTTTATTCATAACGACCGTTGATGATTCCGGTTGAGAAAATGTACCACCCTGTTTGAGGACATTTGTGTATGTATAAGTTATGTGTTGTGTTTTGTGAAACACTGCTTTTATCTTACTTTTTTTAACTCTGATTTATTATGATATTACAATTATGAGAAAAATTATATAGACGATTCGACAATACTACTTGCCTTATGATGATCTACACCTAACTGCATCACCTGAGCCGTCCTATGAAGATTCACGTCTGACCGAGTTTACTTGCACCATGCTGAAGATCCCTTGTAAGTCTTTCCATTGTAGAATGCATACTTGTTTAATAAATCGCTTTCGTTGGGGATTGAAACCTGGACCTCCTAGTGTAGAAACATTAATGAACCCTTAGTCAAACCACTGGATCAAGGGGACTTCCACAACTTTCATCTTGTTTTATCGAATACTATGATTTGTTTCCTTAAATCCTTAACAATATTAGGACTACTAAGGAAACGTTTAGCCAAAACGTTAGATAATTCCCTATATATTAATTTTGGTGCATTACAACATTTAAATGTAGCCACGTGTCATCATCTGGATGCTTCTCAAATTCCTTAGAAAATAGGTTGGTCCATCTAACTATATATTATATATTTTTATTAAATTAACTATCACTTGATTAATAATGTATAAAAGAATATTCTCACTTCTTTCCTTAAATAAAAGCTACGAAATTACCTAATATGATTGACATATATATGAATATTAATAATTTTGAATAATAAAGATTTGGTAATATTTTTTGTATCCTCCATCCTTTTTGTTTAATTTATATTATTAAAGAAATTTAAAAAAATCACATTAACTATACTCCTACATGTTATATTTTGATTTTTTAAAACGATTGTAAATTACTAAAACCGTTAAAGGTCTTACAATGAAAATTAAGTATCATTTAAAAGATTTTTAGTTTTTGTTATAAAAAGATACAGATAACCATAAAACCATATGAATATATGTATCGTTTAAAAGATAATATATATATAGTTTAAAATCGTTTTAATTTAACTATAAACCATATAATTGCATATATGGTAATCTCAAAATTTCATTGAAAAGTTATTGTGATCTGAACATTTAAATTTGAAATTTCCATTGAATTTTTTAGAATGATTATAAATTAATAAAACTATAAAAAAATCTTATGAAAATTTTGTGATTAATTTTTTTTCTTTACATCAAATACACAAATGTTAATAAAATTCTATGACTATGAACTAAGAAGTTTCATTTAGATATTCATATTAAAATATATTATATATCTATGTAAATATCATTTAAATTTAATATATATCATATAAAATAAATAAAATGATTGCTTTAATTTATGTGCTTATTCGATTTAATTATGTATATAATATTTATTCGATTCACAATGATTCAATATGTTTATTATTACATAATATGTAAATGACTATAAACTAAATAATAACATATAAAAGTAATTTGTATACATAATGTTCATCCCGCGTAATATGCATGTATCTCTTGATGTATTACAATCGGAATATTTTCTTAAACGATCGAAGCTCATGTTTCCCGAGAAAGCTTGCACGAAATTAAAACAAAGCCACAAAAAATATGAATTATAACGTAAACATTATCGTAAGCACAAATATTGTAGATTTTGAAAAGAAGTCGAAGATCAACAAAAATCATAATTCTCTTTTCGACCACAAGTCAACACTTTCAATGTTTGTCATTTACATATATGGTAAACGAGTGGACCATAAATAGATTTTCTTATGTATTGTTTCAGACCTAAAGTTTAATTAATTGGATTTTTATGAAAACAGTTTATCAACAGTTTGACCCGATACGCAACATCATTATAGTATAAGTTCACAATATGTAACACCTTTTAAATTTATGACACGATACAATTTTTTGGAAAAAAATTAATATACATCAAACAATTAGCAACTAAAACTCATTCCGCGTATGTGAGCGGGTTATCAACTACTCCTTCCGTTTCAAATTATATGATGTTTTAGAAGGTTTATGTTGTTTCAAAATAGAAGATGTTTTGAAGTTTTAATGTATATTTTGAGGTTTTAAAGTTAACTTTAACTTTATTACAAAATGTTCATCCAATAAAATTTTACAGTCTTTTTTATACTTGTTTGAATGATTATAAAATTTATTTTTTATTAAAGTGTTATTTAGAAGAATGTAAATTTTTTAATCTTTGTGCACCAAGCCAAAACATCATATATTATAAAAAGGAGGGAGTAATAGTATTATCACATCTCTTGCCAAATTGCCACGCGATATACACAAAAATGGAAGTCAATAGTGTTTTTTCTCCTTTGAAAATTAAATTAAAGAGAAAAAATATGAACATGCATTGTTGAGACAGTTACATATAGATACACATTGTGTCTTTACTTATCCTTCGACAGCTGTTTTTTTATTCCTAAAATAACCTTGATTTTGGTTAAAGAGAAGTATGCTGGTTTTAAAGAAGCAAGAGGCTATAATTAAGTTAGTGGACTAAAAGTAATTTAGTTAGTAGACTTTTACTATATAAACTATTTTTAGTTCTTGTATTATCAATATTTTTTGTGCACCTTCATCGTATCCACCACCATCTTCTCGTCCTCATGTCTTCTATGTTGGTATTCACATCCATCATCACATTATCCACTAATATGCCATCCACCAAGACGCCTACAACCACTTTCTCCTCCTCAAATCTTTCACCTTCGTATTCACATCGACCACCGCAACATTCACTACCAAGGCATTCACCGCCGCTTCTCCTCACATCTTTCACCTCCATGTCTATATCCACCATCACAGCATCCACAGCCACAACATCCACAGGCACGACATCCAGCACCACCTTCTCCTTTTCGCGTTTTTCACCTCCGTATCAACATCCACCACCACCTCCTCCTCCTCACTTATTCCACCTCCGTATCCACATCCACCACCATGGCATCACCACCGTGAAATCCACCACCATGGCATCCACCACCTTGACATCCACCACGACTGTGAATGGATTGGAGTTTCTGGATTCATGGTGTGACTCACCAATGGTCGAGGATGAAGAGCTGGAGAAGTTAATCTAGCGGAGCAGTCTTAGATCGAGCAAAAGCTAGAGATATATACATAGAGCTTGAAAAAAATGATGGCTCCGACGCTTTACCAATGACGGCTCCTCACAAATATGAAAATAGGCATTGGAGAAGAGGAGTCGTAGATCTAGGATGTTTGGAAAAACTGAGAGCGGCGACGGAGGTGGTGGTCGAATCGGTTCTTGATTACTACGGAGTCATTGACCGTGACTCGGGGAAATCATGGAGTCTTGACTTCAACTCGGTACAAGTCAGTCTCGGATACGCGATGACTCCGTTTCTCCATAACATCACTCTCAAAGATTCCTATTATGTAAGGTTCTGTGGATTCAGCGTTAGTGGATGACAAGTCTTGATCATTGCTACGGTGTTCATCATCAACTCTTTTAAAGATAGAAACTCATGTCCACCACTATCCACAAAACCAATGTCCACGAAACTCGTGTCCATCCATCTTCAAACTCAGGTCAACCACTATCCACAAAACCACTGTCCACGAAACTCGTGTCTCCATCTTCTACACATTGAAACTCATCTATTATCAGTCTCCAATCAACGCAACTCTCATTCACCAATCTCCCATCCACCAAGTGCCCATCCATAAGACCACAAGTAGTTATCTAACCTTCCATGTAGGAGGTTGATTGTGAAACAACGGAGCTGGAACAGAACTGGCACGGTGGAGAACAAAGATAGTTGTGTGCTCGAGAAATTGAGATCGAAAGGGGATTAGAGACAATTTTGGATCAAAAAAATTAGGGTTCAATTTCTTAAACCTCTCATCTCGGATTTCGATTTGTAGATCCAGATGATTTCAAGAGAGAAATGAGGTTAGGGTTTGTTATGGGAGACTTCTCTAGATCTGGGAATTTGAAGGGATAATGGTAGAAAACGAGAAGGTTATTTATTTATTTTTAAAGAAAAAAAAAGTAGATCTTTGGCTCATTAGGAATGGTAACGAGATATACCATCTCTCTTAGTTGGGGAAGTTGGAGGTTACCTTTGTAAATTTACTAAGAGAACGTGTCTTATATATACAATGTGTCTTTCAAAGTAATTAAAAACTCAAGATGTGACTTCTTGAGTAAATATTTCGATAATCAACTCTTTTAAAGATATAAACTCATGTCCAGCACTATCCACAAACCACTGTCCACAAACCCGTATCTCCATCTTCTACACATTGAAACTCATCGTTTATCAGTCTCCAATCAACTCAACTCTCATTCACCAATCTCCCATCCACCAAGTGCCCATCCATAAGACCACAAGTAGTTACTTTTGGAATCGGAATCTAACCTTCCATGTAGGAGGTTGATTGTGAAACAACGGAGCCGGAACAGAACTGACGCGGTAGAGAACAAAGATAGTTGTGTGCTCGAGAAATTGAGACGAAAGGGGAAAAGGGGATTAGGGACAATTTTGGATCGAAAAGATTAGGGTTCAATTTCTCAAACCTCTCATCTTGGATTTCGATTTGTAGATCGAGATGATTTCAAGAGAGAAATGAGGTTAGGGTTTGCTATGGGAGAATTCTCTAAATCTAGGAATTTGAAAGGATAATGGTAGAAAAAAGGGAAGGTTATTTTTTTATTTTTTTAAAGAAAATAAAAAGTGTAGAAGTCTCCTTGGTTCAATGGTTTAACTAAGTATTCATTAATGTTTATACACCAGGAGGTCTGGGTATCAAGCCCCACTAAAGGCGAAATTATGCGAATTAAAAGAGAAAGAAAGGCTTACAAGAGATATACAACATGGCCGTAGAATCGTCTGTAATATATCTTATAGTTTGTAATAGAATAATTATTCAGCATTAAAAAAAAAGAAAATAAAAAGTAGATCTTTGGCTAGTTAGGAATGGTAACGAGATATACCATCTCTCTTAGTTGGGGATATTGGAGGTTATTTACAAAATTTACTAAGAGAAAGTGTCTTATATATACAATGTATCTTAAAGTAATTGAAAACTCAAAGATGTGACTTATAGAGTAAATATTTCAATAATGTTTCTTCTTTTTTAATGGTCTCAATCATCGATCTCTTGAACCCATGCTAAATCTGCAAGACAACAAAAAGACACTAATCAAGATGAAACTACATGTAAGAAGCTTTTGTAATGGTACCTTGTAACACAGTTTCTACAGCTGCATTAGGGATAGAGAGGCCCACTATTTTGTTGATTATCCGTCGTCGTCTCTATGCGTATCACTCCAATTCTCTTGTGGGTTTGACGGGCCTGCAAACGAACAGAATACACTGTGTGAGTTGAGCCAACACTAAAGAGAGAGGCATTACAAATGTTCTAAAGTACTATGCACAACCTCCTGAAGTTCATAAGTGAACAGTGAGTTAGATCTGGGAATATACTCTCCCGATTTCATATCAAATCCCTAAATTGTTATACTATAGATACATAGCAGATCTAACTCACTGTGGGAGATACCATCATGAAACTGTGTTACATAGTGCGAGAACATAGCAGATCTATAGAGTATCTTAGATACGTTAATATACTCTCCCGATACTCTATAGATCCCACTATGCTAATATACTCTCCCGATTTCTTCAGACTCTCCCACTATGTTAATATACTCTCCCGATTTCTTCAGACTCTCCCACTATGTTAATATACTCTCCCGATTTAATATAACAATTTAAGATTAACATAGTGGGAGAATATGAAGAAGAGAGTTAATAGCGATACGTTATGATCAGGATTGAATGAGGAAGAAAACGTTACTGAAGAGTAATGAGATCGTCGTTAACAGATCCAAGGGTTTTAGATACTAAACTATTAACAGATCGTTTGGACTATAACCTGGTGAGCTATCACGACAACAGGAGCTCTTTGTCGTTCTAACTCAATGATTACAGACAGGTTCAAGCCTACATTGTCAAAGCAGCAATGTTTGCTTGAGGTTTAGTTTATGACTGAACGTTGAAGAGAGACGAACATACCGTTGAATTACATCAAGGTAGGACTCTCCACGAGGGTATCTGTATCGCAATTTGTCTTTTCTCCTAGATCTGCATTCATATGCAGCACCACGATATGAGATAGAGACGCTTAAGAGCTTACTGCCCGTTTTAGGATTGATAAACATGTGTACCATAGAGATTCGATATGCAGTAGAATATGTAATATGAGGGTGTACGTTGGTTTCTTCAGATTTGCAACCTAGTTTCATGGCTTTATGATGACCAAAACTATAAACTAGTTCTATCTAATTGTAAGAAAAACACAACTAGAAGATTAATGTGCCTTTTTCTCAGATTGTTTTAGAACTCTAGGAATTCAGAACTGATCACATATACAGATTATACCAAGTCACTAACTCGTACTCTTCTGGCATGTTCTTCTTTATCTCTTCATATGTCATTCCATCGCAAACTCCAGAATTGATCTGGAGTCCAGGGCACGCCATTGCACCTAAATATGAAAATAAGGAGGAAATGATTCTTCCTTGCAAGAAATAACATATGATTATTACAACACATGTATGAGTCAGAAAATACTCTGGTAGTTGGTAATCACAAACCTGCGGTTAAGATTGTTAGACAATATAAATATTACTTACTATTAAGAAATTTATGATTTCAATTTATAAAGTATGGTCAATCAATATTGCTTGATCCTCTGTGTATTTGTGTGGCAAAAAGAGGTTTCAAGGATGGTTCAATGGCTAGGTTGGAGTACGAAAACTAAATCTCGTTGTCCATGTCCAAATGACTGATATTTATTCTCAATACTTTTTTCTGGGGCTAAAGAATTGATAGACTGATTCAGAGGATTTAGATGTTGCACGACAAATTTTACGCTTGTTCATTGGTACAGGCTTTCTTTGTCACAATTCAAACATGTGTAACAGTCTGCAACTTTTCCACAAAGTTGGCTAGTTTCTTTGCATACAGATTCACTGCGTTTCAAAGTTGACAAAGGTTAACACAATTTCACATATTAAACAAGAAATATAAATTACCTGCTTAGAAATTTTAGAAAGTTGGAGGTAACTGAGTAAAGACATACCTTATAACACTATCTCCCCCAGTTCGGCCTCTAACATTATCCATACTCTCTCCATGCCGAGTGAGTAGTATTGGTCGTGGAGTGAGATGTGTATTCACCTAATTCAGGGTTTAAAAAAATATCAGCTTCTTAAAAAACAATGATCACTTAACTTATTGAATTAGCCAATGAATGTTGATGATGATATAAATCACACTTTCAAGTATATAGTTGTATGCTGATTTTGCATGTTACAGAAGGCTAAAGGCATTTTAATTAAATATATGCAAGAGTCATGGCCATACCAAAAAAAATACAATTCTTCCAGGAAGGTAACCACTAATATTGTTCACCTGCAAACAGAGTACATTAACAAGTCAGGAAATAGCCAAAACTACAGAGTATCTTGACCATCAGTGGCACATTACTTCAGCTAGCAAATATATAAAACATACTTGTATCTGTCCACCATTACCGCTGACCATATCAATCATTTTGATGTAAGAACCTTCTTCAACAGGCTCATAAACCTGGTAAGAAAACAATAAACCGATCACAGGAACAGAGCCGTAGATATGAGGAGTAAGCTCGCCTTGAACCTTAGAGTTCTCCATTTTGAGTGAAACGTAGAGCTGACCTCCTCCTCCACCATTGGAACAATCGTCCTCTTCTTCTTCTTCAGTATTCTTCGATGCAGCCGACCCCATCGCTTTTTTCGATTCTCTGATTTGCTGATTTGAAGAGTCAAACGGATAACAGATTAGAGGAGAAACATGTAACCGTTCGCTCCTCCCCGCAGCTTTTTTTATTCCTTTTTCCGGGAAAAATATTCGGTTGTTAGATTCTCAGTGGGTTAACTGGATAAGAGCAAATACGTGGTGGCTGGGTTGGGTTTGTTTTGCTTTTTGGGCCTATATTGCTTATTGATCCAGGCCTTATTATCTATGTAATAGTAATTAAAGACTTTAATCGTATAGTGGTGGTAAGAGCATCAGTAGGAAATAGAGTAGCGAACAAAAAAAAATCATTACTCCATTTACAATTATGAAGTGAGGTTGAAGATGATCTAAGAGCATCTTTGTCGCTCAAGGGATTTTTATTATTTATTTTTTATCTTAAAGAAAATAAAATTCTTTGACAAAAAAAATAAAAATAAATTAAAAGTCTAACTAATGATCGGTATGTGTCGGTGGATCCGCAGTACGAGAAACGAAAGAAACATGTTCCTTATTTTGCACACGGAAAAGTGTTTCTTACACAGTCGATGAAATCCATTAATTTTTAATTATTTCTTTTTAAACACCTAAAGTTAAGAACCTTGGGATAATGATGTTCTGATTTGTTTGGAAGAGAGTCTTATGGTTATTATATAACTGAATATGTTTTTGATACTTTAAAGAAGACGCATACGGTATTACCAAACAACCAAAAGACAATGTATTTTTTTTGTAACATTCAAAAGACAATGTATATAGAGAAAATTAGCTTTCATACTAGTAAAGTCGCTTACCTGTATAAATCTATATTTCACCTATTTACCGTTGGCCAATCAATCTAAGACCAAATCAAATCGGATGTCAAACATAAATCCAGACTTAAACCAATAATAAACCGGCTAAAACTGATAAACTCAACCAACAGACGGTGCAAACTCCCCCTCCAATATTCCGGATGCCGCTTGAATGGTGACCTCCAGAATTAATCGGAATTATTACAGGTACAACGCTTCCTCCTCGACCACCACGTCCGCTTCCACCACCACGTCCTCCTCCACCACCACCACCACCGCCTCCTTTTTTTATAACCACAGCTAATTCTTGAGCCTTTCCTTCAAAACCAACAACATCTGGTTTTGTGGCTCTGAGAGGAAGACTCTCCTGGTACGTATCAACAGAGTAAGGCCTTGAACTAACAGAAGGAAGGTTGTGCTGGAGATGAAAGAATAAGAGAGTGTATAAAACCAACGATGTTCTTCTTAAACCCATTTTCGTTTTGCTTATGTGTCTCCTCACTTTCTTGTCTCATATGTAATGTATTTATATATAAATTCTGTTTGAATACTTAACTTGCATGAACAGAAAAAAAAAAACCGCGTTACTAGTGGTTGCCTGTTCTAATGTATGGTTAAGAAGCTGCTCGGAAAAATCTAAAAGATATTTAACTCTCGTCGTAAGTATCGTTCTCTTTGTCCAGTTTCAGAAAAAAAAGTATCGTTCTCTTTGTTTAAATAATACATACCTAATATTTAAGCGACGCGTAAGCAAAAAAGTAAAGAATATATAAGATTTTGAGATTTGCACATATGTTATCATCTTTATCTGTTCTTTTGGTCAAAAAAAATTATTTTGGAGTCTTTGGAGATTTACACATATTTATTTAATTTGATGTATCCATAAAACAGTAGTTGAATAATCTTTTGCACTTTTAATGAAATCTCTCTCGTCATGATCCTTTTATTTTAGTTAAAAACTCTATTTTACTGTCTTTTAAGAGTTTTGACCTTGATCTATACTATTATTTGCAAAGTGATTTTTCGCAATTGAACTCTCACATTAAAAATTAGAGTGATTAATATTGTTTATACCCTTAATGAATAAAATATATAAATTAAACATAAAAGAAAAACAAATTTATATTTTTTGATTAGATAAATGATTTAAATTAATAATAATGATACAAATTATCCATAATCTAAATATATATTTAAAAGAAAAAAGATAATTCATATATATATTGTGTTGTTATCCAGAAAATATATTTTAATAAAAAAATCAAAAACAGAAAACACATAAATAAATACTCATAAAAAAACTTTTTAATTGTACATAATTGAAAAGAGAAAATTAAAAAATTTATAATACGTAATTATTTTCTAATTAAAAGAATATAATAATATAACATAATGATATGTATATTTATGAAGTAATTTTTCGCCTCTGAACTCACAAGTTAAATTAAATTTATTTTATATTTTATATAGTATAACATTAAACATGAATTAATCATAATAAAATAAAAGATCATTCAAAAAGAAAAAAAATACGTTGTTGACAAAATAAATTCAAATATATTGTATTATTATCCAAACTAATATTACTATTTCTGTAAGATCAATTTTTGAATGTATATTTATTGATTCAATTTATCAAATTGAAAGATAAGTTTCTATATTTTTTTATCAATTGAGAAGAAATGAAACAGATTTTAGATTTTGTTTCAAAGTTTTAAAGGGAAAAATATTTTTTTTTTAATTTATGAATAATTTTATCATGTAAAAACGTTTAATGTTTTAAGTCTAATTTTTGGATGAAAATAATCATTTATTTGATGATTTGTTAAATTGTCTTAAAAATAATCAAGCTCGCATGTGCGGGCAAAACACCTAGTTTTACTTAATTATTTATTAAATATAGAAAATAATAAATATTAATATAGTAATTTACTGATTTTAAGTATTTATGAAAAATAATGTATAAACATTTACATCTTATATATTAAAAGAGAAGTGATGACTTCACTTCATGTGTGATATTTTAAAATGGATCATCTAATAAAATTTATGACATTACATTATTCAATCATTAATAATATTCATTAGATTCACTAATAACATTTATTGGGCTTACTAGAAAATTTTAATGGGCTAATAAAAAATTAGATGATCCATTGGATTTATAGATATTATAATAAAATACATGTTTAAACTAAACTTATATAATTTAATATTGCAATAGTATACGTTAATATTTATATATTTTTGATGTTAACTTTAAAAATTATATAGTTTATTTTTAAAAATAACAAAATCCTCATTTTCTAACAATAATTAATCTATACTATATAATAATTAATCATCATTTTCAATATACACACCTTATATAATATATACCAATTTAGAAGTAAAAAAAATGTTTATATAAAAATCAATTCAAACAAATGGTTGCGCGGGTCGAGATCTAGTTAAAATATTAAAATTAATCCTACACATAAGAAAGATAACATATGATGATATTCTGATTTTCTACATATAAAATTTAAATATATTTAAAAGTACTTTGGTAAAAACAAACAAACAAACAATGGTATGTGTATGTGTGTTTAGTGTAATTTTTTTAGTTACACTATTTTTCTTTCTGTAAATTTTAGATAAGAAAGACACTCTAACTTTGACCAAAATAAAAAAAAAAAGACATTATTTAAAATAAAATTTAAGATTTTTTCCCAAATGAAATATATAAGTTATGAATCTCTATTTAACCAGAAAAAATTTGATATTATGGGATTATTTCAAATATGGATTTCCCCAAAAACGATCAACAAGAAACTTTAAACAATGTATCCAATTTACTCTTTCAACAACCAACTTTCAAAAAAAAAAAAAAAATCTTTCTCATATCATTCCCACCCACGCTTTCGACTTAAAACAATAGACCCAAACGACTCAGTAAAACCCAACCCCAAGCGATCCCCCGACCACTTGATATGACTCGACAAAACATGCACAGACAGATAGATACTGCCAAGACAATGGAAGACTCGAGAAGGATGCATCAAAAACACTTCAGGCTTATATTACCTTGCCAGGATTTGGCAGTGTAAACTTTGATGCATCTTTAAGTTGAAGGACCAGACTCTCCGGTTTTCTTTTCGTCATCAGCTTTCTCAGCCTCACTTTTTTTCTTTTCCTCAGCTTCCACTTCAGTCTTCACCTTCTCCTCTGTTTTTGACTCTTCCACGCTCAACTTCTCAAGAAGACCAGCCGTTTCAGAGGCATCTTTGCTCTCCTCTTTCTCTACCTCGGATTCAGCAACTTCATTGAACTTCTGCATAAATGATTTGCAGTCTGACAAGGGAAAAAAGAAATAGATTACCCAGCAGCTCTATACACAATTCATGGAACTAACAGCTTGAAAATTATACACTCCAATACTGCCTAAACTTTTTATCATATCAAATTAGTTTCAAGCTATATACATGTCTAACCATATCAAGATCGTTGCCTCTTTCTTAATTTTAGCAAGGAGCCATAGGTAACTCCTGAACACAATACGGGATATGCTTTATTAATAACAAGTCAAAGACATAGGGAATTAGCGATGAGAGTGGTAATAACGCAAGGAAGGGGAAAATCAAGCAATCAACAGCTCTAGCTATCTTTATTATGAAAACCTTGAATTGAGATCTTCCAAAAAGTAGCCATACAAGATACAACAAAGCTTAAGTTCAGGAGCCTTTACTAATCTAATGCCGTAATTGTAGCAATAATGTACTCAGAATAAACAAGGCAAACCAAAAGCAACATGCATAAAGGGCAATGAAAACAAGTAGAGATAAGTAAAAGATATTAACAAGAGCAATCCAGTATCACACTCACTCTCAATAGAAGCAAATCGGATGCAGAAAAGTTCATCCTTGAGCTCCCCATCTGCAAAGTCACGTGCGTGCCATACACAAGACTTTTCATTTCCAACGTGTTCCTGAACAGCCATGCCCGGTTTAACTGCACAAGCCCCAAATATAATTACGCCTAAATACGAATCAAGAAGTAACAGTAACCCTAAAACGAAGCTTTTACCAAAGTGATTAGCACAGATCTTGAGAGTTTTCGATTGCCTCATAACGAGACGGATCTTGCCAGTATCCTTATGTTTCAAAAGCTTAACAGTACCACCACCTCTCTCCTTCCACTGATTCGCTTCCTTATCGAACCTATAAAGCTTCGATTTCCTAAAATTCACAGCACAAAAATCACCAATCAGAACCATTGCTCAAGCAACCACGAAGCTAAAAATTCGATCAGATCTAGATCACAACTACACTTACAGATCGAGGACGGCGTCTTCGTCTTCCTCACCGGTAGTTACGGCAACCTCCTCAAGCCTAACGATTGGAGCGACCTGAGCTCCGGTGTCCTCATCCTCGTTGGCTCCGGCCTCTTCCGCGTCTCTGTTCTCGTGCTCGGGTTCGTTGGTCGCCATAGTATCTAAGGATCAAGATTTTTTGTCGTTGGTTCACTCGTTCGCTTAAGCTGCGGCGTTTGGGAGAGAGAGTGAGAAGGGTTAGAAGCAAACAATGGGCGTCGAATTGAAGCTTAAAATGGGCCGATTTTGTATGAATAAATTTTTAGGCCCATATAAGGCCCTTTTGTCGAGGCGCTCCAAAATATGTACAAATGGGGAAACACAATCCTTTTTTTTTTTAGGTAAGATATATTTTGGTCATCATTCAATGAACTTTCTCGTTATTTTAATGTTAACTAGATTCTAACCCGCCCTAAAGGGCGGAAATTATTTTGTCAAATTTTAATTTTAATATATGTTATATATAATATGTGTATATAATATATATTTTGTGAAATATACATATATGACATATATATAATATGTTGAACCGTTTATTAATCTTTGTATTGAAAACACGTTATAAATGAGTTGGACATTTTTCTCCTATGGTTCAGTTTCGTACAATCTATTTATATTAAGAGATAACCAAAAAGATTTTAAAGATGTAATTAGTTAAATTCAGTTGATCTACATTGGTTAAGACTTGATTTAAATTAAGTTAGTAGATTGTATTTTATAGGAGACATAATATATTCTAGTAACAACTATGAAAAAGTCCAAATCTAAATGACAACTTTAATTTAAGTAATAGATAAAAATCAATCCCTAAATTAATAGATTATATATAATTAAAACTTGGTTTATATAAAAAAGACTTTGAAACCCAATAGTACAATATTTTTTTCCGCGAAATAAAAAAAACATATGTAAAGTCAACCACTTTTTTGCACAGATTGTCGGTTTCTATCATCTTTAACCTTACGATTTCTTCGTCTATTTTGTAGTAGTTATGTTAAGGTAAGATATCAATAGATTAAATCAAATATATTCTTAATAGGGTTAGAATATTCGATAAGATAAAGAGTATACAAAACATAAGTTTGTTAACGACATAATTTAATATTAGATAACTCACAATTTTTTAGTGTAGGAGTTGTTAAATGAAGTTAAGATATGAATATATTAGATTAAATCAAATCTTAATATGGTTGGAATCGATTCTTGAAGATTATCTACTGTTGAAGTTCATCAAGATTATGTGCACAAAATTATTAGATATAACAAAATGTATTTATACTGTGCAATATATTAGATTAATATATATAAATGAACATATAGTTTAAGTGTGTCTTCGACCTTTGTGTTTAACTGGACATAATTACATTTTATTATGATGCAGTATAATTAGAAACAGACCATCTGATTAGAAACAGAGTACACATTAGCTTATGTTTAGTAGTATACAACAAATAGGGAGTATAGAATAGAGGGAGAGGATCAATTATATTTAGTATTAGATTAAGCTCGTTATATGTTTAAATTATACTTAGTTGACAGACCTATATATAGAGAGGTCCAATTAATATAATAGATAAGATGATGCTCGGTTTATGTTTCTGTTCTGTTTAAGATATTGGTTTAATTTAAATAGGTGATTTGGTTTAATTTAAATAGGCAATTTGGTTTAATTTACGTTATATGATTTCATTATTTAAGAAGCGTGTAACAATATTATGGTAATAAATTAATAATGTCCATAACATAAATAGCCTAATAACAATTTCTATGGGTCCAAAATTTAAAAGACAACTTCTAATGGTAGATAAAAAGTAGGACTCTATTTTAATAGAGTAGATTTTGTAAATTAATAATTTTTCAAAAAAAAAAAAAATCGTCATTTCAAGAATTTTAAATATTAAAATCAACTAGTTTACACATGTTGAAAGGGTTTCCATAAATTTGTTCAAAGCCATTGTTAAAACTTATCGTATAATAAAAGAAAGATAATACACTAGAACTTCTATAAATTAGTACTCGATGAATTAATATACACTAAATATCTTTTTAAATTAATATAGTTTTATAGTCCCAAATTGAATTTTTAGTTCAATTAGTATATTGATAAATTAATATCTCTCTAAATTAATAAAAATAAAATAAAATTTTGGTGTAATCCCAACATTATTAATTTATAGAAGTTTCACTGTATTATCCTTGATATATTTGATTCAAGATTTCATTTTTGATATAAAATAAATACTAGTATTAGATGTCCTCATTTTCAATAGTCAAAACAATATAAAATTTTGCACAACAAAGAAATACTGTATATTAAGAAATTGGTTTATGGTCCATATTTTTATTTGACCAGACAGCAAACGATATTCTGTACATACATGTGTCTAATGGCATTAAATGTAAATTTCTTTCTATTTGTAGTAAATATCAAATAAAACCTTAATTAATAATTAAATTGTATAATAAAATCAAACTAGGGTTTGAAATTTTGGTAAAGACACTCCACACCCCCAGATACATTTGATGTATATATATACATCTTTCACATCTCTTCATTTGCATAGTCTTTCTCTTATCTGTTGAGAATCTCACATCTTTTCTTATCTTTCAAAACATATCTTCTCTTCATGTCTTTCCCGCTAAACCCCTTCACTTCATCAACAATACCATCCATGAAGAAATCACCGTCATCATCATCGTTGGAGAAAAGAGACAACTCGGTGCAGGTCGAAGAAGTCGATCGAATCAGCAACCTTTCTGATGATGTGTTGCTCAAAATACTAGAGAACATGTCCACGGAAGAGGCGGTTCAGACAAGTTTGTTGTCTAAACGTTGGGAAGGTGTCTGGAAGCAAATGCCTTATCTCTTTTTCGATATGAGAAATAGTATCAAGCTGTATGTTCCTATAGCCGAACAATCCAATTCCATTTCCCAGTTGATAACCAAGGTTCTTTCATTTTTCTATATTTCTTCTAATTATTTTTGCATGATAACTTATAATAACGAGATTTCATGGGAAAATAATACATAATGATATTTTACAAAACAAAATATTGATATTTTGAAAAATGGATTATCAATATATTTGTGTTTGAGTTTTGATTGTGAATGTAATGAGAAACAATAACAATATGTCAACATATATAGTTGTATCATATGTTGTATCTTTCAATCCATTGGATTAACAATTGATCAACTATCTATATACAAAAAAAAAAAATTATCAGCGAGACTAGTCAAGCATATAATAAAATGTCTCAATTGTTTTCTTTAAAGTAGCAAAAGTATCAATCTGATATGAAAGGATTGGCTTTATTTACAATTTCTATTGTCCATGTGTATTGGAGCTATTAGCCTATTTGTAATCATTAATGTTCTTTTTATCTTTTCTCAAGGTTTATATAAACAATCACAATGTCCATGTGTATAGCTATTTAGCCTATTTTTAATCATTAATGCTCTTTTTTTTTTTTTTTTTAATCTTTTCTCAAGGTTATAAACAATCACAATGGCAATTTGGAGTTCTGCAAAATCCAACATTTGACACACCAAACTCAAGATGGTACACTGGAAACTTGGATCCAATCATTGATCCACGTGAAACACACTAAGTGTCTCGCACTTGAGAGAATTCGTTTTATTCATTGTCCGCGTGGTCGTTTGCTCCACTTACCCCCAAACATATTTTCACATCCAGCGCTCACATCACTCCTCCTGTCTCGATACACATTTGAGTCTGCACATGCCTTTAACAATTGCAATAATCTCATAACTCTGCAACTTCATAAAATCAAAGTTGCAGTTGATGTGCTCAACACAGTCATTGAATCATGTCCCTCCCTCGAGATGCTGGTACTAGAAATCTTCTGGAACAGCAAAACTGATTGTTTGAAGATTCATAACAACAACTTAAAGTTTCTGCATCTGGCTTGCCCTGGAATTGATAACATTGAAGTGTCTGCAGCTCTTCTGGACATACTCTCCGTTCACAATATTAAATTTGGGAAGGGGATTAATATCGTTCTTGACGCTCCAAGATTACTTCAGTTTAGTCAAAGATTATGGAGAATAACTCAAAGTTTGCCTCACATAGTCTACAATATCTCATGCGACGCTCAGGTACAAGCATATACAATTGCATTTACACACATACTCACATATATAATGGGTGATTAATTAGAATATTGTTTAACATGTTTAGTTTACTAATTTGAATTGAAGGGAAATGAAAACATTGGGCATGAATTTCTGATGAACATAGAAAATTACTTTTTGGCTGAGTTTGCAACTTTGGCGGTGAATGTGGATATGGTGAATCCAATAGAAGTTTGCATACTGAAGGAAGTTTTAGATGCATGGGCTAGAGACTTGGAAATGCTCGATATCTTCTTTAAGGTACATTCATTTTATGCATCAGTTCTTATTAAATAAAGTTGATCAATTTTCTTAATTCATTTATCAGATTTTATTATAAAATTAATTTGGTTACATGTGTATATGTGTGCAGCATAACGATGTTTATAAAGAAGAAGGTGAAATTTCTATTGATGGAATACAAAATATGTGGGGGTATTATTCCTTTCTCGATGTTGATATCAATGTGAGAACTGTGTGTTTGTATAACTTCAATGGTTTGGATGAGGATCAATTTGCTTTAGCTGCAAGTTTTGTGATACATGGGACGGTGATGGAGTATTTGATGATCGAGACGTCTACACTTCCTGCATACAAAAAGTTGGCAATAGATGCTGCTGTGGAAAAACTGATGAAACTTCCAAAAGGTAATGAGGACCTTATTATTCAATATATTTGATTGAATTTGATTCAGTCTAGTTATTGGGTCACCTGAACAATCCAGACTTTCCTTTTATTTGAGTAAATATTACTTGGTTCAAACATTCAAGTAATATCTTTAGTGACATTTTTATATTTGGGATTTGTCTTGTATTAATCTGAATACTATGATTTGTTTCATTGAGTTATTATCGTGATCAATACTTTTTCAGAATAATTAATGTGTCTTCAAAAGAGAAAGTATTTTCTTTTATATTATATACTGCTGAGCGCTGACAAGAAGCAACATAACATTAGAAAATTTGTGTACATTTTTAAATGTTTCTTTTAAATCTAATTTCGCTACTGAGTCAAATTTTATTTGTTAGAAACAGTTTAGGGTTATAACAATATAAATATGACATTTAAACATCCGTGAAATGTCTGTAGTATGTTCCTCTAGTAACTGGATTGGTGGTAATTGTTTACCATTTTAGTGGATATAGTTAGTTTCCATTTTTTGATATTTAAACCTTACAACCCTAACATGAATGATAAATCAACGTATCTCCCTCCATCTGCTTCTTAAAAACCCACAATAATTCTCACAATATTACATTTAAAACTTTGTAGTAGCTCAGTCATATCCCTTGAGCACCTAAAGCAATTGTATTACAGACCAAGAGAAAACTAAACTAAGTTGCTAATGTTTCCCTCCCGTAATCTATGAGTTTAATCAATAAAAATGCAAATATTTGGGCATCTAGGAGTCTAGTTTCAAGTAGAGTGTAGACGTGAGTTATCTTCACCATATAAACAATAGTTTCGTCGGATCCGGAATCACATTTGCAAACTAACAAACAAACAAACAAAAACTTGAGGCTCACATTAAAAGACATCATTTCCAGTTCCTTGCTATGATATTGATAGCAACAAGTAATGAGAGTAGCTTTGGTTGATACACATGTCTCTACTTCCTCATCTTCTTCTCCGTCCGAGTTAACCAAGTCCAGTACATAGCACATCGATGACTCATCGTGAGAGGAGTCGTGAGACTGAGACGGAGACAGAAACGGATGTTTCAAAAGCTGATCGCAACTCCATCTCTGGTTCGGGTCTCTCTTTAGACAATTTCACCCGAGAGAGGGTATGTATCAAAACACCAACGTAGAAGAAAAAATAAATTGGAAACCAGTAGACCCCATAACTTTAGAAATCAGTAGTACAATTTATCCATAACCAGTAACCCCAGGAACTTCTTCGTAATGGCTAAAAAATGGACCAATTTCTTATGGATAAATTGTGAGGACCTTTTGTCAAGGCTTTCCAAAATTCATACAAATGGGAAAACAAAATCTTATTAATTTTTAGGCAAAATATATTTTAATAATCATACGATGAATTTTCTCTCTATTAATGTTATATATTCTATTAAAACTGGATCATAAACAGTTGATAGTCCAACAAAAAATATAATTATATCTATAATATAACTGCACCAGTGACAAAAAAAATAAAAAATATAACTGCACAAAGGTGTATTACGGAACCGTATACCTTCCATGTCCAAAATTCACGGTACCAATGTCTCTCTTTGCTGACAGTGGCGTATATATAATGACATTATTTTTTTTTTCCTTTTTGGCTTTATTAAGTACAATTGTTAACCTATATTATTTTATTATACTACAATTACCATTGAAATCTGTTATATTATATACATGAATCATCAGTATTGATATTAGCATGTTATTCAGTTACGTAATGTAGTAATGTATTCCATCCAAATTATTTCTGTATGTTATTCAATAATCTCAATTTTTTTATAGAAATAAATATTAATTTAAATTCATTTAGACAAGCTTTGAATGGGTTATTCTGTTAATTTTTTGTATTATGTGTGATTTTACTTAAAGTTATTGAAAACCATGTTAATAATTGAGGATGCAAACAGATAACTCTAATAGATCTTAAAATAAATGTAAATGATTTAATTTAAAAAGAAATATAAATAAGATGAGTTTTGAATGGATTGGATTTAATCATTTTAAATTTAAAAGGAATATAAAAAATGTTGGTTCTTTTGGATATTATTTTCTGATTTTGAATCAAATCTCATTCATGTATTATAAACCAGGGCAGGTTTTGAGTCGGGTTTTCCTAGGTTTTGAGTCGGGTTTTAATAGATATGGTTGAGGTACAAATCTCATGTAAAAAAATAGAAAACCTCTAGATATATGCTATATTTGGTTCGGATCTGAATATTTTTAACCAACTTACTCTATTAGGTTTGCGTGTCTAATATCTAAATAACCTAAAATTACCTATAATAACTAAAAACTAGATTCTGACTCATCCTCTCAGACAGCAGGTATATCATTTGTTTTACATATATTTTTTAGAAATTTAATTTTTATATTTGTGCCTTTCTTTTGTAACTATAAGTGTTTTTATTTTTAATCATATTTGTGGTATTCTTTGTAATCTTATTTGTGTAATTCTTTTTAATTATTACTAATAATTTTGATTATAATTTCATAATTTAGTTATCTATATTATTTTCTGTAATATTATGTGTACTAAACCTTAGTAATAATTAAATCATGAAACTTTAATCAAAATTCTTAGTAATAATTAAAAAAAAATATTACACCAATATGATTACAAAGAAAAACAAAAATATGATTACAAATAAAAACACAAATATAGTCACAAAGAAAGACACAAATATATTTGTGTAATTCTTTTTTAATTATTACTAATAATTCTGATTAAAATTTCATAATTTAGTTATCTATATTATTTTCTGTAATATTATGTGTACTAAACCTTAGTAATAGTTAAATCATGAAAGTTTAATCAAAGTTCTTAGTAATAATTTTAAAAATATTACACAACTATGATTAAAAAGAAAAGAAAAACAAATATGATTACAAATAAAACACAAATATAGTCACAAATATAAAAAATAAAAAATTTTAAAAATATGTAAAAGATATACACGCCGACTCGGAGGGCAGATCAAAATCATAATATAATTTTTTAAAATAAGGATAATTATCAAATCAATGAAATTCGTTTTTAATTTATAATTAATTATATATTAACAAATATAATTATTTTTCAAGGTTAATAAAGACTTTATAACCCAATATAAAATAATTTTAGATAAAGATAAATCTAAAATCAATTGAAATTCGTTTTTTAGTTATGTTTATTTATATACTGAAATTTTTAATTATTCATTAAGGGTATAAACGATATTAACCACTTCAATTTTTAACGTGAGAGCTCCGTTGCGAAAAACCACTTCGCAAATAATAGTATAGATTTTTCTTTGACCAGAAAGCAAATGTTATTCTGTATGTTGTGTCAGTAATGGCATTATATGTTAAAAATGTTTTTTTTTTGTAGTAAATGTCAAATTAAACTTTAATAAATAATTAAATTGTATAATAAAATCAAATTAGGGTTGAAAATTTTGTTGAGAACGCCACACCCCAAATGCATTTGTTCTATATCTCTTTCGCCCCCCTTAATTTGCTTAGCCTTTCTCTCATCTGTAGTGTAAGTTTGCTTTTGCCTGCACCTGAAACAGATGAACAAAATACACTTCCATATATAAGCAAAATTCATATCCCAAAAACTTAAATAGATCAACACAATATAGACTAGTGCCTCACCCTTGTTTGCACCTCCATCAAGTTCTTGAGCGCCAGCAAGAACCTGACCAGCTTCTGTTTCATCACAGTGAGCTTGAGCTCTAAGATGTGCCAGCTTCTGAGTCATCCTTTCACCTCTTACTTTGGTCATCTTACCAAAACTAAGTTTGTCATCTTCTGGGAGACATAGACTTGACATCAGCTTGGGGTAGCTAGTGTGCAATAGGTGGTACGTATCCATGGCGTCACTAATCGGACGTCGTCTCATCGAAGGGCCAGGTTCAGGGGTTTGATCACGTTCACCACCGGCATGATCAATTGATCATCAGCAGGAGAAGCTCCTCCCATATCACCATCATCATGAACAGACTCTTCAGATTCACTGTCCTCAATCAAAGTTCCGTTGCGGAGATATTTTTCGCAAGCCCGCTCATAATCGTCGTCGTCAAAAGATCAACCACGTTCAAGACCATCATAATCGTCGTCGTCAAAAGATCCACCACGTTCTAAAGCACAAAACGTATCTTCCCCCCCCCCCCCTGAGAGTGTCCTCCAACTGCTTATGAACCCACAACAAATCTCACAATGTTTTTTACATTCAAAACTTTTTCGTAGCTCAATCATATCGGTTAGGTTTCCCTCCCATAGTTTTTAAGTTAAGCAAACAAAAATGAAAATATTTGGAGCGGAATACACAACGCCTGTTCTCAAGTAGGGTATAGTAGCCATGAGTTATCAAGAAGAGACAACAGATATTTGGAGCAGAATCTAACAAAGCCTGGTCTCACTTTCATCTCACCAAGTAAATGATAGTTTCGTCGGATCCGATCGAATCACATGTGCAAACTAACAAAAAAACAAAAAAAACTGAGGCTTGCATTAAAAGACAACATATCCTTGTTATGATGTTGATAACAACAAGAAGTAATGAGAGTAGCTTCGGTGGATACACATGTAATTCTAGAACAAATCATAATATACTCCATTAATAAAAATAAAATTATCACTAATTCATAAGGAACCTCCGCCGCCGAGTCCCAGTTTCCCGGCGGTCTATTGGGATACACAGTAACATCAATCCTCGCCAACTCATCAGCCACGTCATCGTACGGATTCAGTGAAGTGATGTAGTCCAAGTATTCTATCGTTGCCTCTTCCTCTTCAGAAGGGTGGCTTCTAACATCCATCCAACCATCTATTCCCCAATTAGCCCCTTCGGTCGTCGCTAAATTACAGATCCTTGCCATCGCCGTAAATTTGCGTTTCGAACTCCACTCGCTTCTCTGTACTTTTAGAGAAACAAAAACATTTAAGGTCTCAAACCTATTTAATATTCATACTATGGTGGTGTATGATGCATCAAAACAAAAATTTAATTTTTTTTTATAATTTTCTTGAAATATATGGGATAACCCCTATGAAAAAACTGAATTTTCTAGTTAAATACTATATATACTATTTACCATCTTTCGTGTTATTTAAAAAATACCTAAACGCACTCCAATTTTTTATATATATTTTCTAAACTTATCTTTATGGTACATCTGAATTATTTTAAATTTTCCAATGATTAATTTATTTAACATTCAAATACCACTTAATATGTGGATTAACCCCAATAAAAATCCTATTTTCTGGAGAAACGAAAATATTTAAGGTCTCAAACCTATTTAATATTCATACTATGGCGGTGTATGATGCATC